CAGCAGGAAAAGAGACTCCAAAACCTGCCAGTGGGGCTGCACAGAGCATCCTGGTGCTTTAAGAAATTTGAGTTTGAATACTAGGCATTTCAGAAGGGGGGAGAGAATCCCCACCCCCATAGAAGATGATCCCAATCACACTGGTGTTTTTCTGGATTATGAAGCAGGAATCCTTTCATTCTATGATGTCAGCGATGGCATGGCTCACCTGAACACCTTCCACTGCAGGTTCACAGAACCCATGTATCCAGCCCTGAGGCTCTGGGAAGGACCCATCGGGATATGCAAGCTAATGTAAGGAACCCAGCAAAGTGACGTCTACTGTTACATGCTGCTTCTATGAAAGCCACTTCAGCAGTGATGTGCACAGACTGATCTCTGACATAAGAAAGTTCTGCAATGTAGTTAAGTTCAAAACCAACTAATTTTTAATATATATGCATTTTTCAATGAGGGAAGGTGATATGTCTTTATAAATTATGCCAATGTACCACCTAAAGTGCCATATACAATATTTCTTGTATGTTTTTAAACTTGCAAAATGGAAAAGTCTGGTTGAAAGAAGCAAATTACAGCTCGGATTTGAACATGGGTATTCCCATCTTTTTTTATTAAATCCCCACCCCCATCCCCATCTGCCCAGAGAGGCTGCAATTAGATCGGTTCAGGCTTCAAGTTCATATATGGTAAAATACTGCATGTGTAATATAACAATATATTGTATATTGTTATAGTTAACAAGGTCAGATTTGGATAATAAATACACTGAGCAAATTAGCTCATAATTAAGTATCATCTTGCAAAATCAAAGACTGGCACCAACTGTTGGAATGGTCCCTTCATGTAAAGCTGAAATAGGAGCTCCTGCAGCCCCGCTCAGTAGCCATTACTTGGTCCTGTGACAAGAGACCCTGAACCGGGCTTCTGGGCAGCCTTGTGCTTCCTGCACAGAGCAGAAGCAGGAGGAAATCATGTAGCACACCCAAGAGATGAGATGCCTAGAGGACCCACAGGGGCAATAAAACCACTAGGTCAGTGATTCATTTATTTTATGCATCCTATTTGCAAAGGCTCTTTAATTGCAACTGCACAAGGTTATGCTCACATAAAAGGAGACAGCTCCAAGTTTCTGCACAGGGGTAGTTTATTTTTTTCCCAATACATTATTAAAGTTCCTGGACATTTCTGTCTACATTTACAGCAGGCTCTAGGACCAGCCCTGCTGGAGTGAAGAACCACTGCTGCTTGAAGTGGGTCAGGTAATCCTGATAGAATTCAAATATTAAAGGCCTTGAAACCATGGCACTGGTGCTGGCAAAGGCAAGGTCTGACCACAGGCTGAAACACAGAAACAGTACCTTGTTTTATAAGCTAAATTTATTTTTTCAGATTTGAAACAAACAAAAAAATCATGTAACAATTAAGCAGTTTTCTTAATGTAAGGCAAGCACACTGCATCAGTCAGAGCTCACATACAGTCAAGCACATAACTCAAAGGATCTCTGCTTCCCAGTTTAAAGATGCAAACACAGCTTCCTCGGAATTGCAGACGGGTAAACATCTTGAAAGTCAACAGTTCACAGGCACAGAAACACCACCACCAAACTCAAGACACTTCACCAACTCATGACCAAGAGGTAGCAAGTTCCAAATAATCATCACTAAATGATTCCACTATAGAAAAATGGAGATGAATTATACTAAAGCAGCTCTGTACTAACCATGCTGAGAGATTCAACTGCTGCCACAGGGCTCCTTCACGGACAAAGGGGAGAGCAGCAAGCTGACAGGACTAGGACTGCACTTCATTACTTGAGAAGTGAGCAGCTGTGCTGCAGGCACAGAGAACACAGGAGCAGCACTGACCACGGACTGAAGCTCAGTTATGAGATCTGGTCAAGCATCCAGCTTCAGCTGCCTCCAACTGCCAGTCAGGGGAAAGAACCCAACCCAAGGTTTGGCTTAGTCGAGGAAGGAGCTGCTGAATCTTCACCAGCCTTTGGCTTCCTGCAAGAGAAGCTGCCCTGACATCGTATCCCCAGAGGTATCCAAACTGTTTTAAGATTTCAGGCTTCACTCAGTTCACAATAGATGCTTCTGACGTGTTTCTGAAGCATATGTTAAGTTTATTTCCACTGATCCATCTTGGATCTGCATTTCCCTCCTTAATCTGTCTGCTTGCCCTCATGCCTTTCAGTTCACGAAAAGTACAAAAAGGCTCTTTCCTTGCCCCTTAAATGGGACCTTTCTACATATCCTATTTGCCTCCTTTCTGGGTACTGTCTCCTACAAACACAGCTCTCTCAAGGAGCGCACTGTCCCCAGTGTGCAGATTCCTGCAACCCACTATTTTATCTCAAGGCTTTTTTATCTTAAGGCTTTCAGCTTAAGGAAAAAACCATCAGGCTGCATTGTCCCAGCAAATGTAAACTTTCATTTATCTCCATTGAACTCCAACTAGCATGCTGTTATCATAGGGTGAGGAAGAAAAAGAGAGGAACACCAAAAGGTATGGAGTTAGAACAATTCAAACTGTAGACAAAATTACCATGATTTACTGTGTTCTTACTAGAAAGGGGAGCTATAAAGTAGCAGACTGTGGTCTTACATGTGGCAAACCTCTAAATTAACCTAGGTTAAGAGGAATGGAGAAAGGAGGAGCACAGTATTTTTAGATGTAAAGCTATACTACTTCTAATAAAACTGCTCTTCATAATTTATCTCCACTTGCTTCAGAAACTTCTGCTAATGAGAACCTGAAAATTCTAACCTGCTTGGATCCTCATAATTGCACCCTTTCCTTCTAATCTACCATGCTGCTATACTTACTTAAATATATATGATGAAATACAGAATAGAGTGCTCTGATTTAGCACTTTACTTTTTTGACGTGATTTTCCACTGCTTGCTCAGTGATGGTTTCATCTTCTTCAATATTTGTTTTCACCTTCTGGCCCACCAGATCAAAGATTGCTTCTGGGGGAAATCCCTTGGGCTCTCCCACCTTCACTGTCAGCATGTCAAGTGTCAGTACTGCACCTTCAGGAATTGCTACTTTCGCCACAACAGATTTTCCCAGCTACAGGGGAGGAAAACAGAAAATTAAAAAATAAGTCAAAGACATTCCCAGGCTTAGTATAGCAAAAAAGGCTACGGAATATTCTGCAGTTACTTGGGAAGAGGTTGTGTAGAACTGCCATCCTCATTAATTCCTATCAAAAATGAAGGTTGAGTGGAACCTCACTGTACTAGGCTCTCTTTCTGAAATCGGATAATGGATCACTGGAATTTTTCAGAATCAGAGTGGAGGGAATCTCATTAGACTAACTAGTGTTCTAGCTTAGCGTAACAGCAGCTCATATACAGTCACAGAGACCTAATATTACTGTTACCAACTACTTTGTACTGGGCACTGGTGAGGCTGCACTTCGAATCCTGTGTTCAGCTCTCGCTGCAAGAGAGACATTGAGGTGCTGGAGCAGGTCCAGAGAAGGGCAACGGAGCTGGCGAAGGGCCTGGAGCACAAGTGTGATGAGGAACAGCTGAGGGACCTGGGGGGTTTAGTCTGGAGAAGAGAAGGCTCAGGGGGGACCTTATCACTCTCTACAACTGTCTGAAAGGAGGATGGAGCCAGGAGGTGGCTGGTCTCTGCTCCCAAGGAACAAGTGATAGGACAAGAGGAAATGGCCTCAAGCTGCACCAAGGGAGGTCTGGACTGGATATTAGGAACTAGTTCTTCCCCAGAAGGGTGGTCAGGCATTGGAACACGTTGCCCAGGGCAGTGGTGGAATCACTGTCCCTGGAGGTATTTAGAAGATGTAGAGATGAGGCCTTTAGTGATGTGCTTTAGTGGTGGCCTTGGACGTCCTGAGGCAATGGTTGGACTTGATGATCTTAAAGGTCTCTTCCAGCCTAAATGACTCCATGATTCTACTTAACTTACGAACTTCATTACACAGAAAACTGACAACATTATGCTTTGGTTAAAATAGTTCCTTACTGCCAGAAATACTAACTCATGAGAAAATGACAGGTCTGTACCTACGTCAGTGGCTCAATGTAAGCACTGTGCATGCTGCTGCTGCAGAGCAGAGATTTCCGGTTGCAGAGGCAGAAACACTGCTGCAATAAACAGTTAGCAAGCTGCTTTTCTGAATACAGACTTACTAACTGTAGGTCTAAGTAAGTTCCAGATATGCATGAATCAAATCAAAACTTACCTTTTCATTGCAAGCCATTTCACAGGGCAGTAGCTGTTTGACTGGAGATCCCATTGCTTTTTCCACAGTACGGATGGCTTTCACCAGCTCTGCCAGTTCATTTGGCTCCAGGGATGCCTGGTGGTCACTTCCTTTCCATGTTTTGTCCAGAGTCACGTGGCGTTCCACCACTTTAGCTCCCAATGCAACCGCTGCCACTGAAATGGCGATGCCAGTTTCATGCCCCGAGTAGCCAATCGGGATATCAGGAAAAGCTGACTGATAGGCCTTGAATCATGACAGAGTTGATCTAAATTACCAAGGTAGCACTTTCAAAGACAAAGCAAATTTAACAGTGATGACTGCAATAAAAAGCATAGGAAATTACTGTGCCACAAAACAAGCCGTTGATTATGCTGAAAATTAATCTTTCTTGCATTCAACATGTCACACTGCATTATTGACCATCATGTTCTAAGAATTTCACTAAGAATTCAGTGCTGACAAGGAAAAGGTGGTATGTTTCGTTCTACAACTTCTCCTATGCTTTTCCTTTTAATTCAGTTGTCCTCCTCAAGGTCCTGAAAGTCTCAAAATGTAACTTACATCACTGTCAGCTACACTGACAAAGTAGTGCTCTATTTTCAGCCACAAACCCAATGGACTGGTTAAACTTAACCTATAGCCAAAGCAGATCCCGTCAACCACATTTTTAAAATCTGAAGCAATCCTTTCACTCATGCACAAGGGACAGTCACTCAATCATAAAGTCAAGTAAATGCAGCCATGTCATGTTCTACTAAAAATTCTACTAAAAAATAACAGACTACACGTACATAAAGCTAGGCAAGTGCTTGAACACTGGCCAATTCGGGAAAATATCCTTGCATTTTTATTGGGCATATCCAAGTAATATTTTCAGCCAATGAAGCTATACATGGGCCTAATCCACTTTCTTCGTTACTCTGATACTCACATGAAGCATTTTTAACACAGTTTTCTGGTGTAGCCCCCTGTTTAAAATTATGTTCTCAATTCCATACACCTTCTTAATGGCAACAGTCTACATAATTTTTCTTTGCATTACCAGTGGTTGACCTGTCATATTTACAGGATATAACCATATGTCATATTTTCCTGTTCAGTTGTGAACACTCCAGTAATACCATTTATAATGTTCCTCAAAGCTGAGTTCTGCTGAAAGAGGATGCAGTGGGTATCTTTACTTCAGCACTTGCATGAATTACAGGAACATGACACATCTTTCTAACTTCTCAGAAGCAAATTCCAGCACACCTAAGATCTGGATATCAGTAAAAGTGGTACCCTAAACAGGGCACGCTCTGGATTACTCACTGACCGATATAACGCGGAGATTGACATCCTCTGGCTGAAGCGGGTATGCACTGGTGCACTGCAGGAAGCAGAAGTTTGGATTGAGGGGCTTCACAATCTGATAAACCTGGTGCATTGTGTCCATTGACTGCATCCCGCTGGAAATCACCATCGGGCGACCTACCCATTAGAAAATATGTACATGTTTTGTCCCAGGTCTGTCAGAAAGCTACACAAGATTAAATTAAATTTTTGAAGTAAACTAATTCAGTTAGAAGGAAAAAGGAAAGCTGGGTGAACCTTCCCCTCCCCTTCTCCCACCGCGGAGTATGAGGGTGATTTTCTTCTAGAGGAGCTTTTTTTCCCCAAAATCAACTGGAGGAAAGATCTAATACTGGATCTACCGTGACACACTGGGGCAGCTCAAAAGAAAATGCATACCTTTCTTTGCAGTCTTCTCCAAATAGGGAAAATTGTTTGTATCTCCTGATCCTACTTTGAAAAATGGAACATCCAGTTCATGTAAAAATTCAACAGCCATCTGCAAGGAAAAGACATCACTGCATTCCAACTCACCACTTCAGCTGGACCAAAGATAAAGAACTAATATGCTGGGATACAAACAACTCTTCAAACCAGCAAAACCAAATTTAGTTTTGACCAAATTTATACGACTAAATTTAGTAGGTTATATACATACACCATATATATACACACATATATCTCCCAAATAGCTCCTGAAATAATATTTGCTATTCCAAAGAGATTAGTTTCTCACTTCCCTCCAGGTGAAGTATTTCCAAAGTGCTTTCTTTTATACCTCTACTCCAAAAGCAGATGTCCCACAGGTTTTTGACTAGGATCCCTGCCTCCAGGCCGGCTCTCTGGTCTCCCAACCATAGCTGGTCAAGCTGTAGGTACAGCTGCTTAGTGCAGCTTAGTGAGCTCCATTGCGCCTCTTGCTTCAAAATGAGCTTGTGGGCCACAGCATTTTCTTTTTGGCACTACCAGAGACAGCAACTACCCGCAGAGGGGAGCTTCTCTGCTGAATAAAAAACATACTGCAGGCACACAAGCAGTCTTCTTGCCACATACTTCCTGCAGGACAGAATTACTATACCACAAACAGAAGTTTTCCTGAATAGATCTGTCACTCTGAAAAATTGTGTGAGTATACTGAATAAGCACCAGGAAGAATGTGCCCCAAAAAGGGAAAGCCAAAATGATTTGCTTTTAGGAGACGTACTAGAAAATAAAAACAAAATATGTCCAAGAAAAGACTACAAAACAGCTTATTCAAATGTTAATTATACTCTGCTTTCTTCCAAGAATGCATGTGCTATATTGAAAACAATTCAGGAACTATTGGAGTTTCCCTGAAAGTCAGTAATGCATCATTTAGTGGCCTTTTAAAAACTGGTACTTTTAAGGAAGAAAATCCCACACCTATCAATTACAGGCAAAATACAAAAATCCTCTATTCACATCCAGGGGAAACAATGAAGTAGTTACCTAACTTTGTCCCCCTTCTACAACCCACAAACATTTTTAATTTCCTCAGCTCATTCATTGTGGCAACCAAATATACTTGGTGCCAGAGTGGCAATGTCCAGAAGAGAATCACATCTTCTTCAGCCTAATTTTTCCATCACCATTATGATGCAGATTCAACTTGTTGTAACCAGGATGCATAACATCTCTTCAATCCAGTTTATTCACCAAGACGCACTGAGCATGAAGACAAAGAATTATTAAGAAGCCACAGATATAATCTGATGAAGACTGCACAAAATGAAGTATAACTAACAGACCGCCTATCTAAGGTCACTTCACTAGGTAAACATCTCTTGAAAATTGACAGCTTTTCTGCAAGAGATTCAAGGATCAGGAAATAATCTCAAACAAGGACATTAAAGGGAGTGGTTCAAAAGGATCCTGTTCTGTCTCCAGTACACACCAGAACATGGTAGATAAAAGAGTTACTCATAGTCTTTATATTTACCTCACACATCACTTCACTGATTTCCTCATATAGTTAAACACACAATTTAACCTCTTCGACCTAGTTGGAGTTCCAGAGATCATGTTCAATTTACAGAAGTCAGTGTATTCTCAGGGAGTCATTACATCAATTTATGCAATGACTAATGTGAGTTCCAAGCTCATGTCTTGCAGAAATGCCACCAGAAAAAAAAGAAGGCACAAACATGTATCAGTACTGTTAATTAGCAGTTGAGGTCACACACAAAGGAGCATAGCATCTTGAATTAAAAGAGGGATCTCAAAGGTGGAAAGTGATCTTAGCTGCTGCACATAAATAGTGTTCTGCACTACATGATAGCCTTTATAAGCTTTAGGCTTTAACACCAAGGAGAGTGATTTTCCCCCTACTAAAGGCATATGGGTGTTTAAGGTTCCAGATACAGAAGTCCAAGACTCTTCGACTTAACTACTCTTTTCTTAAAGGAGTATGTGGTCTTTGGCAGGTCCTCTGGACATGAAGAGTACAACAAAAGAAGCATCACAACGCCCTCTTTTCACAGATCTGTCTCTCAGCTCATGGCATCAGGCTATGGCAATTCATGCAAAACATCACTTTGTCTGTCAGACCTCTGAATTAATTTCTTTATGGTGTTTGGTGCTCCTATCATGTCATCTGGGGCACAGCAATTCAAGGATTTTGGTTAACAGACAGTAAGTTGATAGAAGCAGTGAGAATGGCCAGAGAACTAGAAAAGACAGCATAGAAAGGCTGAAAGAACTGAAGTTGCTTAGTCCAGAAAAAAAATACAAAACAATAAGAAGAGATGTGACAATGGTGTTCAAATACACAGAGAAGAGAGACAAGGAAAGAATGAACTTTTATGTCAGTTATGAGAAAGAAGCTTAAGCTGATACATCAGGGAGGAGAAAGAGACACTGAATAGATCACCTTAGAACATTAAATAAATCCCACCCTGGATAAGGCTACTTGCAGAAAGACAGGGACATTGCTGTGCCTGCCTGATGCAAGAGTGGCTAGGTTACTTCTTTGGTTGGTTCTCTGTATTTTCCAGTCCACAAAGAAAAGTAAACCAATCTATAATGAGGTTTAACTGCTCCTGATCTTTCCAGTTTACACATTTCAATTGTGAACTGCATTTGTTGTCGTATGATGTAAAATTATTTGCAAAACAATGTAACTAACACAATTTTGAGACAGGCAACGTGCAAGATTTAAAGTGTTCATCCCGTAAGGGTGAAGAGCAGCAGATGAGCTCCATGGAGTTCACAAGCTGGTGACTGACTGTTCAGTGGCCCACTGATAAAAAGCAGTAAATGCTTCAGGAGTAACAGGGCAAAGTGGAGACCCTCCCCATAAGATAAGTGAAAGAAAATGAATTTCATTTCTGCTGCTTTGAAATATCAACTGGGGCCTAGCAGACAGCAGAAAGGGAAATTTAAAAAAAAAAAAAAAAAAAAAAAAGAGGGAAACAGCAGGGGTTTTGTTGAGAAAAACTTGAGAAAGGAATCTGGTTTAAATACAGAGTGGGTTTGAAATGCTTGGAGCCAATATACCAGTCAGCACTGGAGAGCAGTCAGGTTGCAGTCTTGAACTAAACTCTCAAAGCTTTTGATTGTTCATGAACTCCAACAGAGGCTTCTTCTCTAACATGATTTACTGTGCATAAATACCTCAGCATACGTGGCACGTCTTCCAAGATGCTCGGCCATTTACTCAGTAGATACAAGTGACCTGGCAGAAGTACAATTACTCTGTTTTCCTGATTTAGAAACTCAACATCCTCACGTATTTTATATTCTTTGTATGTAAGAACACCTAACAACCAACAGGACACAACAACTGGACTCTGCCATTCCCGCACAGCTTACGTACCTCATCCATGCCAGACGCTGTGAAGAAAATGCCAACCTCCTCTGCGTATTTCTGTAGCTCTCTGTACTGGTCGTGGCTAAACTCCAGGTGGCGCTTGTGCTCCCCGTAGGTCTTTCCCCAGGAGTGTTTAGACAGGTAGGGCCTTTCTAAGGCTTTCTTGTTGAACTTGTGCTCCAGTTCACTCTTCTGGAACTTGGCACAATCTGCTCCACAGTCCTGCAAAACACGCGGGTGCACACTGAGCACTCACCCCGAGCCTGAGCACAAGGACCGTGCAGCTGATGTGCTCACGTGCAGTGGAATGTTCACACAAATCAATCAGGTTGGAAAAGACCTTTAAGATCGTCAAGTCCAACATCCTCATCACATTAATCACAGCAATGATATGAACAGGAATGAGTGATGGACAACCCACCAACACGTGAGCCCTTCTATTTCAAAATGCCCCCATATGTAGTAGAATAGCAGTCTAGAAAGAAAACACATCAAAACTACAAAACTGAACTGCCTCTTTCTATGCGTGCCCCTTATTTGAAGTGGACTTCTGTGGCATTTCCCAAGCATAGCTGCCACATGGTAACTTTACACGAAAACAAGCAATAAGATTCTGCAAAGAGAAGCACAAATCTGAAATTTGTCTGAAGCAACACAAATGGTGCATTTAAACTCTCACCACATTATTTTGTACACATACCCCAGTCACAAGTCTGAATGCATTATGCCTTGACTTCTTCAGTGATGACATGCTGTTTTCTAACAGAGGCATATCTAATGGTTACAACAGCAGACTTAAAAGCAGCTTGGCTATCTTACAGGCTGACATGGCCTAAAAGAACCCTAACGCAACTGAATCAAATTGAAGGCTTAAGAGGGACAGTTACTTGATTCTTCCAATGTTCAGTTATCTTGTGACTCAACTGAAAGGCTGCTGGTGGCCTCTCAGAGGCTGTGTAATCTGCCCGTGCGTGCAGAGGTACATGCACTGTGAATGAGGTAGGGGCTCCCTAAGAAGGGCCACAGGCTGCAAGACACAGACCAAGGGCTACGAAGTCATCACCTGCTCTGCTGCCCCTCACCACCTCCTACCAGCCACTGTGTTTTACAAATTCTCCTGTAAATCACAGAATCACAGACCGGTTTGTATTGGAAGGGACCTTAAAGC